CGTCTGGCTTCCTGGCTGCTGAGGGTTCCACCACGTTGTGGAGTGATGGCTCGCGGTACATGGCCACTGCAGAGGTGGGGAGAGACATACACAGAGAAGAGGGAAGTGGGGGATGGCTCGAGATTGGCTGCCCCAGCCACCCTATCACCCAGAAAGATCACATGGGGGCATTTGCATGAAACAAGTTTGCATAGAATTATAGAATACTAGAATCACAGGACTGGAAGGCAACTCCCTTGCTGCAATTTAAGCCCATTGTTCATCATCAGATTCAAGGAAAATATTTGTTCTCCCTCCTCCATGTAACATCTATTTAGGTACTTGAAAGCTGCTATCATGTCCCCTCTCAGGCTTCTCTTTTCCAAACTAAACAAGCCCAGTTTTTTCAATCTTCCCCCATAGGCCATGTTTTCTAGACCTTTAACCATTTTTGTTGCTCTTCGCTGTACCCTGTCCAATTTCTCCACATCTTTCCAGAAATGTGGTGCCCAGAACTGAACACAAATACTCCAATTGAGGCTTAATCAGTGCAGAGTAGAGTGGAAGAATTACTTCTCATGTCTTGTTTACAACACGCCTGTTACTGCATCCCAGAATGAGGTTTGGGTTTTTTGCAACAGGGTCAATGCTGCTAACTTATATTTAGCTTGTGGTCCACTATGACCTCTAGATCCCTTTCTGCAGTACTTTTTCCTAGCCTGGTACAGAACAGCTGGCTGAGGGTGGAAGTTTGGTGGAGGGAGGGGCAGTGTACCCATGCCAGACATAGCATGTGGGGGAAGAAAGAGCAGTGTGCATGGGTGGAGGAAAACGGGGATGTTTCTATTGTACATCCCCTATTAGTCCATCTAGCCCCCTCCCCTCTGTCCCTGCTCACACCCTCCCTCACCTTCCAATAGCTTGGGCACGAAGTGGGCAGCAGCTTTGGTTTTCTTGACTCGGTTTCCCTTCATGACCTGGCCCTCTTTGTTGATGCCCAAGTACCAGGACCGTCCAGACTCACGCTGGCGGTACAGGGTGGAGGAATACATGACATAGTAGTTCTCGAAGACGCACTCCTTGAACCGGCACTCGGCAGTGAAGTGAGCCTGGGAGAAGAAAGAAAGAAAGAAAGAAAGAACATATGAGCAAGAGAAGGATGGATGGATCGATGGATGGGGAGGGCATCTATGGGAATTGATGAACAATAAAGTAAATTAGGTGCATGGAGCTGGCTAACTAGAAGGGCTGTGTGTAGCTCCTTGTCAGTAGCATAGGGCCACCTTTACGGTTATTTTCAGTATCAGCACCACACGTTTGACTATCAGCACCATGTTCACTGTTATTTTCCTTGTCTGCACCATAGTCACTATTATTTTTACTATCAGTGCCAAGTTTACCATTATTTTCCCTAGCAGTGACACATTCACTGTTATTTTCCTATCAGCACCATGTTCACTGTTATTTTCACTATATCAGCATCACATTCAGTCTTACTTTCATTGTCTGTACCACATTTACTGTTGTTTTCCCGATCAGCCTATTCACCACTATTTTTCCTGCCTGTGACACAGCACCACATTCGGCATTGTTCTCCCTCCCATCCTGCTATCCCTGGCTATGCTGAAAGCTAAGATTCCACACAGCTTCGCAGGCCAGCTGTCCAGCTTTCCCCAACCTTGGTGCTGCACCATGGCCAATGGATGAGCCGGGGGCTGGTGGGAGAAACACCTTTACCAGTGCGATGGAGAGCCACAGAGCAAGGGAGTCAGAAAGACCTGGCCAGATGGGCTTGCACAGTGTGTGGGGATGCTGCTGGCGCACGTGATTGCTCCCTGATTGGGGAGGAGTGGCAGATTTTCTTGGGCTCTCCCAGGAGTTCCCTAAAATCAGGCCAGCTGCTAAATTTAACACAGCATCGGCTGACGGCGAGACTATGCCAGGAGAGAGCCAGGGTCCAGCTACCATGAGGCCTGAGGAAGAGAATTGTGGGGGGGCTTTGCTATCTCAGCACACCCTATATGAGACAAAGTGGGGGTTCTGGGGGGGGGGAACAGCTGGGAAACTAGGTTCTGCGCCCCCCTGGAACCCTATGTTTGGGAATTGGGAGCAGAGCTCGGTCTGAGTGTGCATGGGGTGGGGTAGGTCTGGGTGTCTCCCTGTTGAGGGTGAAGAAAGATGTGGGTACAGCTGGGGGGGGGGCAGGCTTGGGCTGAGTCCCACCTGCTGGGGACAGAGAGGAACACAGCTCGTCTTACATGGAGGGACCCCTCTGGCCTGCACTACCTCACCTGCTGGCAGAGAGAGGCTACTTCATATTTATTAGCCACTAACACCCTGTCCCCCCAGGTTTCATCAATAGATGCTCCAATCTGCCTCCCTGGGGAAAAACTGTTGCTACCCACCACTAGTCCCACCCAGGAGGCAGCACCCTCTGCTGGGAGAGAGGATCATGCCCCTATTGGCCACATCACCGCTCTGGACCCAGGCCTCCCACCAACCGTTGCTTCAGTCAGAAAGCTGGATCGAGGGACTGACACTCACGGAGGTATAGAGGTAGCCCTCTGCATTCATGGCGATGTACTGCCCCGACTTGGTGCCCTGGATGGCGACCACACGCAGTCCAACAGGGATCAGGTTAAAGAGAGCTGTGGGAGACCAGACAGACAGACAGCAAGGCATCAGCTCCAGACAAGCAGCAAGAAGAGAATGGGCCATGGGGCCTGTCCTGTCCGGGGGGACACTGGCTCCCACCCAGCCCCAGGGCAGGGACTGGCCAGTTCGAATTCCCACTGCCTGATTTTGCAGAACCGGTTCCTGGACCCTGGACTTCAGGCATAATACCTCCCCCTCCCCATTCTTCTGCAGAGCTGGATTTATTCCTCCTCCATGTCAAGCCTTCTCAGTAGCGGGCGAGCACCGTGTTCTAGATATTGAATCCCCTGTTTTGCAATCCCAGCTGAATATTCAGGGCCCTCCGGGAGCAGAGACAACCCACCTCCACCTCCCGTTCCCAGCTCAATGAAAGGAAGATTTACACATTTCCTCCACACACATG